AAAAAATACAGGTTAATTAATATTTAACTTTTTGGAACAAAAGAAGTTAATTTTTAACTTTTTTGTTAACCGTAACTGAAAAAAATTAGCCGATAGCCGTAAAAGAGCCAAAATTTTAGCCGATAACCGTAAATGCCACCACCCCATTGAGACCCTCTTATTAATGTAAATAAGTCACTGGACCAGTTAGTTTCACCCATTTTTCTCTTCGAGTTGAAGCTGGACAGCTTACCTGGTCCTTATTTATTCATTGATTTTGATTGGTGAACATATGCTATGTAGTTTTATTTCATTGGCTAATGGCATTTGCTACTTGATTTCACTTGGTTCTTTGACTGTCCGATTTTGTCCGATTATAAGCTCCTGGTATATAGGACAGGTCAAACTGAACTGTTTTGGAGTTATAATAGCAAAATCAAGCTATAAATATGGGCTGTTAAGAACCAATCAGATTCAAGCATTTTAGTTATTTTGTTATCGACACAGTTAATCAGCAAAGCGCGCTGGATCATAGTCCGCCTCCACATACCGTAACGTTCCCAACGTAACGACCCCCCGAAAGTAGCGATCCTTGGAAAGTAGCGATAAAATTTCACAGGTATTAGCAAATGCCAAAAGTATTAGCGACCCTCCAAAACTAGCGACTTCAAAAGTGATTCCCATTCTTCCTAGAAATAACGGACAATATAATTACAACAAGCTTTACCAAACTGATCCGAGAATTACTATTTTTTAACAGTTATAATGATCTTTGACATTCCTTCATGTACAAATTGTGTACAAAAGGTACATTACATCCCTTTTTTTAAAAAAAGCTAATTTTCCTTTTGTCTGTTAATACTCACACCGTAGTCAAACAATTCTTTTGAATACCAATATTTAAAAAGCAATGACATGAAAAAAAGTTTCTTCAAATAAAAGTGTGGATATTTTCACAATTGTCGCGTTACGTACTATTATCGTTATAACTTCGTACGGCCCTTGTACCATGTACGATACACGTTTTGGCTACCCGAAAGTAGCGACCCTCCGAAAGTAGCGATAGGAAAAGGATGCTAAATCCCAAAGTAACGAGGGTCGTTACTTTCGGAACTTTACGGTATATCAAAAGGACGTTTTGGTTATTATGATTTACCTTAAGGATTAGTTCTAGAAGGTTCAGATTTAGAACATTTAATTGGTGGAAGTGGTTAAGCCAGCATCACGATAAAAGTTTGTTCCTAGTAATGAGCAACCTAGAGAAAGAAACTAGGAAGTAGTCATTAACTGTTTTATCACTCAACCAGTTTTCTTCTTTTGTTTTGCAGTATCTTCTTCACCGCAC